TTGCTCGAGGCGCTGAAGTTCTGCTTCAACCTGTGGCAAGGAAGGGTAGGGAACCGGTCTCTGGGGCGAAAAACTGGGATAGCTTCCGGTCGAAGTCGAGGAGCTGCCTGTACGGTGGAACAGTGACCGATGCTCCAAAACCGTAGCGAAGCACCAAATGATATCACCGGACCAATCTGGAGCAGCAACCGGAGAATCGGCTGGTGGCACCAGTCAAGACCCAGGCAGCTGTCACACAACACGACCCAATGAATGTCGTTCCCTCGGAAGAGACGCAGCATTCCAACTCCCCGGAAAGCCCCAACCCAACACCACATGCACAGATGGCAGTTCTGGAGGACCGTTCAGCTGTAGCATCCTTTCGGTGCCTAACTGCCACGCCACTACAAGAAAGTACAGCGGCTAGGTTACTGCCAGGTTGCCCAGGCCTAGACAGGGGAAGTCGAGAGGCAGAGGTCGGGTTCGAACCACGGACCTTCCGGTCAGTAAATCCGCGCTCTAACTTGGTCTACTTGGATGTCTGACTGGAGGTCGCTCAAGCGTGTGCCAAAGCTTCTCCAATACAATAGCGATGTCCGAAGCAGCGTAAAACCGCGGTCGGAACGGACGACCAATAAACAGGATAGTAAGGAATTTGAGAAGTCCAAAATATGGCGTCCAATATGAGCCCTTTGTCCTTGGCTTGAGTTAAGCTGTCCATAAACACAAGCATGTTTGTCACGCAAGAACGGTTTGAGAGAAATCCGTGTTGATCTGGAGATATCAGGCTGCTGGAAGTAAGATGGTCTAGGACAGCTCTCTTCAGAATTGGTTCCATCGTCTTGCACGGCACTCTAGTGAGACTTGTAGGCCTGTAGCTGCCAGGCGATAGTCGACCACCAGTTTGTAGATTGGCGTGACAATCGCGCCCCTGAAAGCAGGGGAAGGCGGCCTTCGTCAATGGACTCACAAAAACACCAGATAAAAATGACCTGCGGTGTGGAGGATGTCTTCTTTCAGGATCCTTGAATGGACTTCGTAGGGCTCCAACGCGCAGAATGTGCTGATCTTGTGCAAGAGTTGTGTAGTAACGGTATTTTCCTCAGCTTAGTTCTCGGTCTGCGCCTCCCAAGCTAGCGTTCACGTCAAAACCACCACCAAAGGTGCACAAGGTCTTTTAACGCCCAAAACGAAATCAAGATCAGTTGTACAGCGCTTCGTATATATAACGTAAGCGGCTATAACTTTCAGGAATTTTCTGACGCGTTCTGGATGCGCCACTAGCAACCGGCATTTGGCCAATACTGGGTCATGATTGGCTGTTGGGTCCAGATTGTTGACCAATCAGATCTCGCCTTGATGCCGGACCGGCAAGCGTCCCGAATTCTGGGCCAACCTCGAGCGGGCCAGGCTTATCGGCGGAGCAGCACCTAAAGACGTGCGGTATAGTGGGATCCGTGTGGATTGCTGCCTAACAAGTTGGCAGATGTCCTTCACACTGAAGCCCAAGTCAATTAGGGTCCTTTCACAGTTACGCCTTGACGACAGTGGATGTGGCGAGGACACTGGGACTGAACGTAGGCCCGAATGGTGTTCTCTGTAGACCTCAGATATCAATACTGGATCACTCGTAAGTTCATCGTTCCTGTTATCCGGGGAGAACGCGGCCGGCTTGGTTCTGCTGCGCCCTCCCATGCTGTTGAACAGCAAATTTCTGATTTTCCGGGCAAGGTCCAGAATGGAAGCTTGCTTTTGTATGCTCCATTGGCGGATTTCTTATTTACAGCGGTTTCGCAATTAGCGAAATGCAAACTCATCTTCTGTTTCCTGCAGTCAACTTTTTTTGAGGAAAAGTCGAAACCACTTTTCCAGAAGGTGCCGAATCCTTTTAGGTAGCTTGTGGATCATCCGACAGCGTTCTGATTTTTTGAGACTGACATCGTGCCAGCCTCGGGAACATTCTGGACAATGGTCCCATTTAGGTCTTCCACTGAGGCTGATCCAATTGTGCCTTGTTCAAGAAAGATACGGATTCCTGAAAAATTTGTACAGTGGAGGCTTTGAACCTACGTTCGAGGTTCGGGATCTCTGGCCCAGTAGCAGATGAAATCAAAAGTCAGCAGTGGTCGCTATGTCCTGTGCTGTGTTAATTATCACCTGATCGAGGTGTCTTTCGTTGGTGATGATCGAATACAAGTAAGGTAACTGACCTGGGCGATATCTGGTGGGTGCAACGATATGCTGAGTCCAAGCGCTTTGTCGAACGTCTTTGATCAGTGCCGCTGCAAAACGTCCACTTGATGCGACGCACTGGGGCTCCATCCAGGTGACCTTTGGAGCGCCGAAGTCACCTACCAGCAAGAGATGAGTGAAGTGGTTGTTGGAGGAGAGTTGCTTAAAGGTTTATATGACGAACTGGTCATCTTCCGCAGGTTCGGGGACAACGATAGACCACAACAAGAAGGAGAGAATCGGACCCGCATAGCCGGTCTTGAATCCAAAGTGCATCGCAAAAAGGTGCAGAAATGGTGTCAAAGAGGACAACCGGGGTGTTCAGGGCCGCGTGTAAGTACAAAGCAACCCATCAACCCTCCCTTGTTTTGCGTCAGCTCGAAAAACAATCTAGCCGTCTACTGAGATCGCCGCGTCAGAGACATCTGCGGTGGGCCAGTTCCCTGAGTGCGACTATAGATGGCTGTTCAGGGCAAATTGGCTGTTTTATATCGCAAGTTTTGCTGAAAAGGCTGAGGCAGTTTGTGGAGAGGTATTTCATCACTGTCGCTGCTGCCTCCGAAGGTGAGGAGCCGAGCATTGTGTAATCAAAGAGGTTAGCAGAATTAATAACTGTAAGTTGGGTTTGAGTCAAAGGCTCCTAGTGGATTTCTGGGACATGCTTGTCTGCTCCCTGTCTTGGTCGTTTCGAGGGCTTCTTTTCATTTGCGGTTTTATTCGCCCCCGTGAAGCCACGGTTTGCCCTTCACCTTTTGGGTACGGAGTTTTTTCCGCGTTGGTAAAAATGTCGACCACTGTTACTTCCAGCTGTTTCAATACCGCCTTTTGGACCAGATTTGCTGTTGTTCGAAGATTTGAGGCAAACTTTCCTCTGCTTGGTTTCTTGGGCATTATGGAGCGGTGTCTTTGTGAGGCCCTTAGCGTTGAATGGCAGCACCGAGTTGTTCTTCTGGTGGCGCACCCACGAGATTCGTTTTGCGGATGGCCCCCAGCCAGTAGTTTTCAGATTTGACAAATCCTATGTGGGGTGTTTTGCTTCAGTCGACTTTCTTTTGTCTTTGTCTGGACACCCAATCCACCGGCCATCAGCGTGGCCAACTGAATGTGCGAGGGGTTTTACGGTTCTCTGTGGTTACGTTTGTGGCTTTGGCTGACGGGGTCCTGGGCGGCAGCTCTGTTCCCAATCAAAGAAGCTATTTTTGATGGAGCGGAGCTGGAGATTGGTAGTTTCACATTCTAAGTGGTTGTAGGGTTTCGGCAGCAATCCCCGATGTCGAGGTCAACGGTTGCGCTAGATTTATCGCTCAGCTTCGCCGCTTGTCTCCGCACGTCTGACCCAGTTCGGCTCCGAGGTTGTGAATTGGATGTGGGGTTCCTCACTTTTGTCTTGTCCTCCAGGATATCGTTGTTTTTGGTAGTTGAGGGGTCTGCGGTGGTTGTGTAGAAACTGCTATCCGGAGTCGCGGCCGGTTGCGTCGGTGTGCTTTCAGGAGCACAAGGGGATATAATTACAATCGGTTTGGCACAAATTTGGATTCGGCTGAACTGGCGCCAAGTGGAAGCATGGTTCTCATCTCTCCCCTAGTGTAAGGCAGAATCCCACACGGATCCCGTTTTACCGCACGTCTAGGCGCTGCTCCGCCGATAAGCCTGGCCCGCTCGAGGTTGGCCCAGAATTCGGGACGCTTGCCGGTCCGGCATCAAGGCGAGATCTGATTGGTCAACAATCTGGACCCAACAGCCAATCATGACCCAGTATTGGCCAAATGCCGGTTGCTAGTGGCGCATCCAGAACGCGTCAGAAAATTCCTGAAAGTTATAGCCGCTTACGTTATATATACGAAGCGCTGTACAACTGATCTTGATTTCGTTTTGGGCGTTAAAAGACCTTGTGCACCTTTGGTGGTGGTTTTGACGTGAACGCTAGCTTGGGAGGCGCAGACCGAGAACTAAGCTGAGGAAAATACCGTTACTACACCTATAGCTGCTGTGGTCCAGCATTCGCGCCTTTGGAGGGCGACCCTCAGATAGACGCCTGATCGTTGTGTAGACCTTAGAAATACTGACAGCCTACTTCAAGTTCTTCTGCGCGGCAGATGGGGAGGAAGGGTGTCTAGAAGCTCAGGTGTTCGCTTACTTCCATTCTGGCTTAATCAATCTGCGTGAAGCAATTCTTGGTCGGGATTTGTCGGGGCACCACCGCGGAGCGGCCGAGCCTGCTTCGTTGGTGTGATTTCTCCGGAGAATGCCCCTCAGATGATCATCCAGCTCTCCTTTACGCGCCTGTTCGCTGGCGGGCTTTATTGTCGCATCCGAGAGCTGGATGACCGCCTTGGCAACCAGCGAACCCGTGATGGATAGCACAAAATAGTCGTTTAACGAAAAACGTTATTCATCAACTTTCGTCCAGGTTGCTGAGTTCTTTGTGTTTGCATCCTCCAGAGCTTTGGAAGGAAGCTCCAGTTTTGCGTCAGGTATCTCGATTAAAGCGAAACATTCGCACCGGTCTTTCTGACTCATCAGTGGGGATTCGGTTCCGTTTTCGATGGCTTGCTCCTTTGTTGAGTAATGCATTGTATCGTAATGTGGAGGCACCTGACGCATACAAACGGGTTAGGAGAGCTAACTTGTTGTCCTTGTTGGTCGTCCTATGAACCCGTGCATTTCGAGTGGCACCAGGATTTGCAGGCGTAGCATTGCATACCGAGTCTTACATTGCCGGGCAACCGTTTCGCTCACATCTATTCTGGTCCGTCAATGTTTGCAGAGAGAAGTCTGTAATGATATAGTTCATGATCGAACCTGAGTACAAAATAGGATCTGAGTGCAAAATAACAGAAGTTATCGCGCAAATGCTATGTTAGGGTGAAGAATTCGGCAAATGACACGTGAACTCTGTAAATAGATTTAACAGTGAAGGAATTTCTTTACAAATTTTCCTGAGGGAACAACGAAACCAGTTTGAACCGCGCACATGAACCTGGGAGCGTTAACTAAAGGCTTCGGACAGCGAGTTCAAAGTCGTAATTCTCCGGCAAGCTTCAACTCAATGGACTGGAATGAGAGGGCTGCCGGTGCCGGACGCCAACACCTGAATAATCGTAGCGTCGAGTATACTCCATCTGGTCTCTGGCTTAATTCTAACCTTGGAGACCACTAAATGGTTGGGATGTGGTGAACTCGTGAATGCGTTGCAGCCATCTGTACCTGTTTCGTCACAAACTGCACTGAGGGGTTGATCTAAGGGTTTAAGCTCGTTAGTTCAATTCGGCCAAATAGGTCAGGGCATATATAGTCACTGTGGCAGCAAGCATCGTTGAATTTTATCCCTTTGAACTTTGCGGAACAGCTCAGTTTCCCGGTCACTTCGAGGCTTCATCCCGACGCATTACGAACGGTGCACTTGGTCGCTACCGTCAGCGGCCTTCCAATAACATCTCAGGTTCGTTTTGAAATCAGAGTAAGTCAGGACCTTTATCTAGTTGTAGGGTAACTGTGGTGTCAGCGATACATTCCGTGACTGATTTACGTCGACCGGGTTATTTTATCCTGAATGTAGCGGTCATGGCTACTGCTTGCGTTCTTTTGCCGGGTCAATGTTTATGCGAGCTCCTGAAGTATTTTCTGCAGCATTCTTTGTGACCCTTTAGACTGCGCCTACTGCGCCTGTGGTTCCGGTAGGGACAGTGGCGTGCTTAATAACGTTCGTCACAAAACCAATACGGTGTAAACGGTTTTCTTGTAGTTCGTTTAGAATATTATTTTCCGTAAGTCACTTTGCATAGCATGTTACACTGAGATAAGTTGGGATATCCAATCTTCGGAGCACCAGTATTGAGGTTGATAAGATGTGGCACTCGGCAGCAAGTTTCTGAGGCGTCAAATCTGGAACCCGCCCGATTCAGTAGTCGGGTGCAAATATCGGCATCATGAGGCGATCGAAGACAAGCCACGAGGCCGAGGCACTTGAATTGATCTTCGGTCACGGAGCTGAGCTGAAAGCGCTCGCATCCGTTGTTGACCACAACTTTTTGGTAACCTTGATTGAATTGATCTTCGGTC